CACAAAGCTCACTACAAAACTATTATATGAGCTTGTTACATAAGCAACCATAAATGGATTTGCTTTGTCTTTGGCCTGGTTGAGGTAGGAGCACAGTGCAGGACAAAATGGAGCAACAGGAGGTGCCACCAGAGAATCAAGGACAGGAAGTGGCAAATAACGCATGTGAAAAAGGGTTCAGGACTCACTGCAGTGACCTGGGGTCAGAGGAGCCTTCAAGGCATCAACATCCAACAGAAATGACAAACAAGAGCAAGATACTTTTGTTGCTGCTGTCCGACTTGTTCTCCCAGAGCTCAGGGCCTCCTTTCTCCCTCTTCCCTGAGTAAATGGCAAGAAGGGAAGGGTTTAAATTGGGGTAAAACAAAATTTTTAGATCTCTTTAGATAAGGAAAGTGATAAGACTTGAGTGATTTGCCAAGTTCACACAGCTACTCATTTTTAGAGCCAGTTTTCAAAGCCAGATCAGTTCAATTCCAAGGCCCCAACTCTTTTTACCCTATCATGCGGCACTTAGCTTGGGGAAGTAATCAGGCTAGGGAAGTAGGGTGGTTTTGTCCCAGTTCTAGGTGAAGGCTGGAGCCCTCTCTTTTGTTTGCAGCTGCTACCTGTTAATGGTTTCCTCAAGACACGTATAAGCTGAGCTTTATTTGACTGCCATCTAGTGGTCATTTAATTTTCTTTTCCTTTTTTCTTTTTTTGAAAGACAGGGCCTCTTTTTGTTGCAGCTGGGGTGCTGTGGCGCAATCTGCAGCCTTAACCTCCTGGGCTCAAGTGATCCTCCCGCCTCAGCTTCCCGAGTAGCTGAGACTACAGATGCATGCCAACACACCCAGTTAGTTTTTGTCTTTGTTTTGTTTTTGTTTTGTTTTTAGTGGAAACGAGGTCTCCGTATGTTGCCCAGACTGGTCTCTAAGCTCAAGCAATCCTCCTAGTTCAGCCTCCCAAAGTACTGAGATTTCAGGTATGAGCCACCGTGCCCAACCCATTTAATTTCTTTATGGAAGCTAAGTAGGATTGTTTCCTGTGTTTTTGTTGAAAGCCCATGAAAACCATTTAGGTTTGCAAAGATGCACACTAAGAAATGAAGAATGTTTCTCAAAATCTTGTGTGACCATATCACAGACAAATCTAAAAACTATGAGATCACTGAAAATAGACTTTACATTTAGTCTCTTATTGATGGAAAAACTTTGATAGACTTAATATAAAGGATTACAAAGAGTGAAAGAAGTAAGACTAGACTAGAAGAAATTCAGAGTCCCCATGCAGGCTCCCTCTTTCCTATATATTATCTATGTAGAGAGGCAATAAAGCTTATGAGCAAAAGCACAGGCTTCAAAACTCAGTTTCTCAGGCTGAGTTCAGCTTCAGCCCTTATTAAATGCTCAGTGGCCTTGACCAAGTTGCTTAACCTTCCTTAGCCTCTTTCCTCATCTGTATAGTACCTCCTAGCACATAGGATTGTTGAGATGATTAGATAGGATAGACAGGCAAATTAGTGATTACTTGAAATAGCACTTGGTACATGGTAAACACAATATAAATATTAGCTATGAGTGTTTGATGCGATGCCTACTTTTAAAGGTAAGCTTACTATAAAATGTAGGGTAAACTGACCATCTAAAGTCTAGTATATAAAATTTGTTAAATACATTTTAAGAGCCTAATGCAGTCCCTGGAAGAATGTCTATTTTATAGCAATCGGCATGATAGTGCTTAGTTTTGAGGAGATATTATACTTGAATACTTGAGGAAGGAAGAAAAGGTAGGAGACAGTAAAGACAAGGGGTAGAGAGAATACCTCCCTTTTGTCACTTATTCACCCACTAAATATTTACTGATTGTCTACTACATGCTAAAGACCATACTAGGTCATTTTACGTCAGCGGTTCTCAAAGTGTGGTCCACAAGGTCAAAACTACTTTCATGATAATACGAAGATGCTAGCTGCTTTTCTCATTGTGTTGAGATTTGCACTAGTGTAAACGCAGTGTACTAGAACTGCTAGATACACAAGACAGTGGTACCATTTTGTTACTGTGTTCTTCACCACCATACCCAGTACGGGAAACCCCTTCCTTTTATCAAAGTGAACATTTTCTTATAATTTCATATAATGCATTAAGATTGAAAAACTTCCTGATATGAAATCTTTCCCTGAGATTGATTTATGATGATCAGGTTTGAAGTTATACTGGATTCATAAAATAAATTGGGTGAATTCATAAAATAAATTGGGTGTAGAAAATTCATAAAATTTTCTACAGTTTATCTTGAAGACCAAATAAAACACAGCCATCATCTGGCCTTGCTGCTTTTCTCAGTGGTACAGCCTTAAATACGTTTCAAATTTACTTATGGTGTGTTTAGTCATAAAAATTTCAACTTCTTTTTGAGTCAATATTCTTCTTTAAAGTCCCATAACTTAACAGACGTCTTGGTGTTACATGTGTTGGTGTTACATATCGTGTCATTTTGTTCCTCCTGGGACATAAAGGATTTTAATCAAGCTTTTCTTCTGGACTTTTTTTTTTCTGTTACATAAAACACAGGTATCCATAAAGATACTTGCGTCTGATTACTCACCTTTCCATGGTGTCAGTTATTTGCTGAATAGCACAGGAAGGAGGAAGAGCTATAAATTATGTTATCCAAAATATTCTCTCATTACATCTGTCTTCCCTAAGAGCATGTCTCCCTCCCCTTGGTTTTCAGCCTTCAAATTATTAGCGCTTACAGTTAGTGGGGCTTCTCTTTCAGTTTCACATTTTCCAGCTATTCTTCTGCAGAGGATTTGAGCCTACAATGATCAGATGGGCCTTTTAAAGAAATCTGCATCTGGCACAAAGACTGGGAAAGTTTGTATCCGATTTCAGGTTGCTCCCTCCAAAGCATCTGGAAGGTATTTTTACTATTAAAAATTGTGGCTTCCTTATTTCATCTGAAAAACAATGTTTTTATCTTAAATCTGCTTTTTAATCTATTAATGTCAAATCTTTTTCACTGTATTTACTGTTTTTAGTGAGTTTCAAGGGAGGAAAAGACAGTAAAAAATGTCACCACTCTGTCACTTCATTTGCAGTCTGTTCAGTTAATGTTCAGGAATATCTCTAAAAATCCACTCTACCATGAAACGTTTAACATGTGATTTTATTAAAGAATTGTTACTCGCTGGGCATGGTAGCTAATGCCTGTAATCCAAGCACTCTGGGAGGCTGAGGGGGGCGGCGCGGATTGCCTGAACTCAGGAGTTCAAGACCAGCCTGGGCAACATGGTGAAACCCAGTCTCAAGAAAAAAAAAATTAGGTGGGCATGGTGGCATGCACCTGTAGTCCCAGCTACTCAAGAGGCTGATGCAGGAGGATTGCTTGAGCCCAGGAGGCAGAGGTTGTAGTGAGCCGAGACTGCAAAACTGCACTCTAGCCAGGGTAACAGAGCGAGACCCTGACTCAAAAAAAAAAAAAAGAGTTTGTCAACGCACTTAAAATGTAGTTTTACTTTCAATAACTTTATTCACATACTTTTAAAGGGAACTGAAATGGCAGTAAGAAACACTTGGAACCTGATAGGAAAAATACCATCTGAAAGTTGCAAAATAGTCACACCTGAGGATGACAGAAAAAAATTATTGGCTCTATGCAAAAAATACTGGTATCTATTTGTGAATTTATTTTCCTTACATAGAACAGCAGATTCACAAAAATGGTGTTAGCGGTAAAATAAATGCAATTAACAGGATTCAGAAAAAAATTTTCGACACCCAGACCCAGTCTCTCTTGCATCTTGAGAATAGAGCCTAATAAATCCAGGTGAGTTAAACTGCTACCTGCTTTTATTTCCTAGAACTGAGCTAAATTTGCAAATTGTATTTTCAGACAAAACCATCTGCACTCTTCAAACACAAATTCTATATTCCAAAACTTTACCATTCTATGCCTCCAAAGTTTTTTGTCTAGCGCTTATAAAAGCCAGTAAGAACTAGAAATGTTTTAAATAAGATTTTAAAAATCTTATCTGCCACACCAATTTTCCACATTGCTTTAGAGTGTCCTATTCCCTCTGTTTCAAATCTTCCAGCACACTTCTAGAATCTCTAAAGCTGTATGTTATCTATGTTCAGCAAAAGTATGTGGACCTTCATGTTCCCCTGGTTTCATCTTGTTTTCTGTATTTATCAGGACTTTTTCGGTTATGAAAAACCCAACAAACTTTTATGAGCAAATTTGTGCTTATTTAAAGAACCAAGAAATAGATAGCCGAGACTCAGCAACAGCTACAATCAGTTTCAAAGTCCTTCCAGATTGTTTCCATCTATCAATGCTCCACTAAATTTTGTTTTTCAGATCAGCTTTTTCCAGATGACAGGAAAAACAGAACTGTGGAGAGCTCCCATGCTGAGATTAGCTCTTTTTGTTTCCAATTTTAAAAATTTCATTCTCTGATTAACTCAGTCACTCAGTTTGAGCCAAGTACTCTCTCAAGGGATAATTCCTGGGTGGTCAAGGAGGTAGAATCTGTTAAGATGGTAGCAGCTCCCCCTTTGAACAATGTAATACAAATGAAAGGAGCATCTCCCCAAAGAAAGGGATACTATACTGTACTCAGGAGGAAAGGATGTACGATGCCTCCTTTTTCTTCACCTTATCCATCTAATTTATATCACAACCATCACTGTAAATGCTTTCTAAAAGGGTAAAACAGCAGCCTCCATTTTTTTTTTTAAACTACTCTATGCCAAGCATAGTATAAAGCCCTTTAGATAAACTATTTCAAATACTCCCCATAATCTTGTAAAGTAGAAATTATTATCTCAGTTTCAGATTAAAAACCAGACGTAGAAAAGTTCAGTAAAAGTCATACAGGTCTAGAATTTTTAATGTTTTCAGTTTACTATTTATTCTTGTATTTGGAAATTGAAGTAATATAATTTTCATCATACTCTGCAATACACAAATGCTAAAGTTAACAAAACATAACCAATAAAGACTGACACAACTGGCAATAAAATCCTTTATTATTAATTTTTCGAGAGAGAAGCATGCTTTTTATACAGCACCTGTAAACAAGTTAGTGAAGTATATACTATTTTGAGATTCCCCCTTTCAATTTTTTTTTTGGAATGTTAGGTTACAACATCAACTGCATTACATGAGAGTTACTGAAAGCAAGTCAGGGTAAAATTTTATAGCCAAAAATATTCATAGCAGCAGCTTTTAAAATATGATTTTATTAAATCAAGTCATTGCACTTGGTCATTTTATTGCTACAGCAAAACAAGGTCATTACATTATAATACTTCTCATTTCTGATTTAACTGATTGTCTCATTCTGCTCATACATTTCAAGTTTAAATGCAGGCATAAAATGTTTATCAACAAATCTAGAGAGCATTTGGATTTTTTATTTTTCTGTGATCACAGTAAGAGCAGAAAAAAGAGTATCTTCTGTTACACAAGGCCTGATCTCTCTTTACATCTTCAGACTTAAAATTCTGTAGAAGGTAACAGCTCTATATTAAGACAGAAGCTTAGTGGTCACACACAAAAAATAACACTGAAATACAATTCGGAAATTAATGATACTGTGTGTCTCAAAGAATACATGAACTATACATTCACTAATAATTTGGCAGTGAGATTCCATGCTGTTCACTTTCGTCTTTTATACTCACATGTAGAAAAAAAATTCATGACTTACCCCAAGTAAAGGTTATTATTACATATCATTTTGTGATATGAACTTTAGGAACAGAAATTAATAAAATTTCCCATACCAACAGCAAGGAGTAACATTGCTAGAATAAAGGAATCATTTTTCCCATCAGGCCTGGGTTTGTTTGGTTTTCTTTACTGTTTTATCAAGGACAGAAAGATAAAAGTATTTCAGTTATTTTTCTATTCTGACTGAGGAGTACACAAGCAAAATCTTTAAATGCATTTTCATGCTCATAAGCATCTTGATTTTATGTACTAGTGAGAAAATGGCCAACAAAAACTTTAAGAACAGCCTGAAATCTGCTGGAAACTTCCCTCGTCCCATTATCAGGATGACCAGGGATCGCTTCAATAGATTTTCAGGTGAGAAAGCTGGAGGATAATTTCTAGGATTACAATGTTTTTATTATACCTAAGGTTTGTCATTAAAAGAAAATAAGATTTAATTTATTTAACAAGAAGGAAAAAATTCATTTGACTAGTCATTTAAATCTATTCTATTTAACAGAAGAGGAGGGAACAATTTTGTTCAGTAGTGACCTCATTGGAAGAGCCCATTTTGAAGAGTTCTAATATATATTCTCAATATATAATTAGCATTCCCCCAAACCCCTAATGTAAGTTGTAAATTAAACATTATGTTGTTTACTGGCATTTCTATTTTCTACTTCAGTTCTCTTTATTTGAAACATGACAAAACTTCATTTACATAAGATTTCTGTATTATAAGATCAAAATGTAAAGGCAAAATATTGGTTTGGTGGTTTAAAACTTAAAAAAATGGAAACATAATCACTGGTACTCAAAAATCTGACACTCATTTGCTATATAATAAAGCATAAAACCTAATTTTTTGCAAATGAAAAATTTCAAATTTTAAAAATTTAAATAAACCCACTTGTGTTTTTAGATGTTACCTACAGATAGAACATTTTAAAGCATTCAACTGTTCATAAGTAACTCTGAAGAAACAACTAATTCATCCATTCTGTGAAAATGTATTTTAAATATCTTCAACTATATTTGGTTTTAAATAAGCTGTAATGTTTTATTTTATGACATACTAACATTCATCATAAAGTTTGTACCTAAATAATAGTTCAAAATATCTCCATGAGTTAGTTTGGTCTATTAGGTAAATTATACATCATAAAACCTGAGTATTTACAAGATAACTTGTCAAAATAGGAAACCTCACACTGAAGTTCTGAAAAGTTCTGGGTTTTGTTTTCCTATTACCATTATTAAAAGTCAGAAGGAGAAGCATGAAATTGACAAGATAATGAGCAATATTTGAGACTGTAAAATAAGCAGAAAAGTACAGCAATAGGCTGGTGTTTACATGTTTTATATGTGCTGTAGTTTCTAGGCACAAGTTAAGGGTTAAATTAACAGTTTTAGATTCTTCAGACCTAACAAATTTAAAATACAGTTCATATTTCCCCAAATGTTTAACAGTTCAACATATTTTAACTAAGTTCCTTTTATGACTCCTACAGTGCAAGCAACATAAAATATTCTAAAAGTTGATGAAATTATTTTGATTATTCATTAGTTCTTACTATATGCATGGGTGAGTAATCTGGTTTATATAGCTAGGAAACTCCTATTTCATCACCCAAAATATAAACAGCATTGCAGACAAACAGGCACAACAGTGTAACCTTGGGTAAGAGGATAAAAGTAAAAATATATATATATACACATACACATACAAATACAGTTTATATCCCTTATGCATTATGGAAAAAGTAGTGACTATAGTTACTAAAAAGCTAATCTGTCCCTCTCAAATAGTGTATCTTACAGATAACTCGTAAATATATCACCATATTTATAGTATAGATCTCTTTAAAAATAATACAAGTTTCAATAAAAAAAAACTACTGTGCACATTCTTATTTATATATATTCAGTAGTATTTTCAAGCAAACAATTTTTAAAAAAGTGTTTGCAATCCCAGCACAGTTAAGAAATAAGGCCCCTTTTTCTTCATATTGGCAAAACAAAATATATATATATAAAAATTCACCCTCACTCTACGTTTCTATAGATATTATACTTCATTTACTCATATTTATCATAACATCAGCATTCACAATTTGTAAGTAACAAGCCAGCTGAAGTTCATAGTGTTGCTTCTGAATCCCGGGAACATTATGAACACCAGGTCCACACTACCTCAAGAAGACAGGATAGCTTTTTTCAGCTTCTCTATTTCCATCTAAAACAAAAAACATAAATTGAGCAATACATAAAATATTCTTAGTTTAGTAGTTTATTTTATTCTATGTCATTAAGACGTGATCATACTTTCAAGCCTTCAGATTTTTTTCCAGACCTAAAATCCAATTTCCCATGGTATAATATAGTTGAATAAAGTTTCAACAGTACAATGCAAGTTCCTTAAATGGCAGTCACAATAAGAAAAAAGCAATTATAGCCCTTTCAGCCAGAAAAATGTTAAGTCACGTGAGCATTTAAAATCAAAGCTGTAAAAAAAAATCAGTCAGTCCTACAAAGAACAAAAGAATCTTTGAAACCCAATTAAGAAATGTACATGTATCTGTAATTAAACAAAGGGTACATTAAACAACGGTAAAAAGAATAAAGACCTGTTTAGTTCCATGTTTTTCACTAATTATATTTAATTATAATTATGGTTAAATCACTTGACTTGGTTTCTATTTACTTACCTGTAACCAGTATATACTACATTAAATATCTTAAAGCCCAGGAATATATCTAAGATTCAGTCAAGGTGCTGAATCTTCCATCTTTAGGCAGAAGGCATTCTTCACTTAACAGAAATTCATAACTATAGGAATTTATGAAGAAGGAAATCAGTTCATTAAGTTTGCACAATAACTACACAGTTATTCAATATTGACATATTCAAATGGCTAAGTTGGGGCTCAAAGACATTAAACAGGATGCCAATGTTCCACACTAACAAGTGACAAAGGACTTGTCATGGTAAGATTTAGGACTTTAAAGCCCACAGTTTTTATACTGATTTCTCTTCTCAATTCTCTTAACATTTTGATAATCTTTAACCTTTCACTGCATGAGGAAAAATATAGATAGGCCTTGCCTTATCCTGATGGCATCACCTTCCTCAAGAGTGCACATAAACAATACACGCTTTGGCTAGCTTTGACAAACAGTACATTATTCAATGATTAGGACTTTGCCATAGTCAAAAAGTATAATTGTTGTATGTTCACAATCTCCTTAAAGATTGTAACTACTCAAGAACAGTTTATTACTTTCAGGACCTTCCCTGATATGATTCTCTTAATATTATGATGATTAGCTCAATGTTTCAGCAGCATTGGACTAGAACAAGCCTGTCTTCAATTTGGATTGAGATGATACCTTTCATTGTCAGCCTGATCTGTTATTATAGTCTTTATTCCAAAGATAAAGAAAGCGGTAAGAAAAACAAACTGGTAGAAGAGGGAGTAGGGAGTGTGAAGGCTACTATTGCATGCACAATCAGCAATACTCGTTGTAAACTGCTATTTGTGACATACATTTAGTTATTACTGGACAGGGGTCATCATGGTGGACAGGAGGCAGGACTAGATTGTAACTCCAGACAGAACAGCGTGCAGAGGCTCGCATAGTGAATTTTAGCTCCAGATAGACTGCAAGAACAAACCAGCAATCCCGAGAGGACCCACAGACCCTCTGAAGAAAGCGGACTGCTCTTGCAGGACCTGGGAACACCCCAAATACTGTGAGTGCCCCAACTGCGGAAATAGGAAAGAGAGACCCTCCTCTCCTGAACACACCCCCACTGGAGAAACTGAAGGTCTGTTTGCAGAAGTTTCCAGCTTCACCTGGATCTGACTCAATTTAGAGAGCTGAGCAAAATACAGTGGGTAGAGGAAGCGCTGTAAGGCCCTGGGAGCTTGCTGAGTCCCCAAGCAGGCCATTCCTGCCTGGCACCACAGGGATATACAGGGAGGGTGGCCAGAGGAGCAGGGGGTAAAACTCCACAGGGAAAAGGAAATCTCTAGCTAAACTTAACAATTTGAATGGGGCAAGAAACCTCCTGGCCACAACTCTGGAGGGAAGAATCAAGCCCTTTTCTTTCGCAGCTAGAAGGCGGGGAGCCTGGGGCAAATTTTCAGGCCCATCTCGCCCACCATCTGGAAACAGGGCTGTTGGGGAAGGCATGGTGGGACTGAGACTGGCCCTTCAGTTTGCGTGGGAGCTGGGTATGGCCTCTGACTGCCAGCTTCCCCCTACTTCCCCGACAACCTGCATGATTCAGCAGAGGCAGCCATAATCTTCCCAGGTACACAACTCCAGTGACCTGGAAATCTCACCTTCATCTCCAACAGAGGCCACAGCAAGACCTGCCCAAGAAGAGCATGAGCTCAGACATGCCTAGCCCTGCTCCCACCTGATGGTCCTTCCCTACCCACTCTGGTAGTGGAAGACTAAGGGCATATAATCTTGGGAGTTCTACGTCCCCACCCACTGCTGGTCCCTCTCCCTACTATTACAGCTGATGCTTGCTGGAAAATGCCACCTCCCGGCAGGAGGCCAACCAGCTCAAAAATAGAACATTAAACCACCAAAACCCTCACGGAGTCCATTGAACCCCCCTGCCCGCCACCTCCACTGGAACAGGCACTGGTATCCACGGCTGAGACCCCCATAGCCACTTCACATCACAAGAGTCTCTGCAAACAACCCCTAGTACCAGCCTGGAGCCTGGTAGAATCACTGGGTGGCTACACCCAGAAGAAAGACAATCATCACTGCAGTTAGGCTCACAGTAAGCCACACCTGTAGGAAAAGGGGGTGAGTACTATATCAAGGGAACACCCAGTGGGACAAAAGAATCTGAAGAACAGTCTTCAGCCCTAGACCTTCCCTCTGACAGAGCCTACCCAAATGAGAAGGAACCAGAAAACCAACCCTGGTAATATGACAAAACAAGGCTCTTCAACACCCTCAAAAGATCACACTAGTTCACCAGCAATGGATCCAAACCAAGAAGAAATCCCTGACTTACCTGAAAAAGAATTCAGGAGGTTAGTCATTAAGCTAATCAGGGAGGCACCAGAGAAAGCGAAATCCAGTGCAAGGAAATCCAAACAACGATGCAAGAAGTGAAGGGAGAAATATTCAAGGAAATAGATAGCTTAAAGGAAAAAAAAAAAAAAAACAATAAAAAATTCAGGCAACTTTGGACACACTTTTAGAAATGCAAAATGTTCTGGAAAGTCTCAGCAATAGAACTGAACAAGTAGAAGAAAGAAATTCAGAGTTTGAAGACTAGGTCTTAGAATTAACCCAATCCAACAAATGCAAAGACAAAAGAACAAGAAAATATGAACCAAGCCTCCAAGAAGTCTGGGATTATATTAAACAACCAAACCTAAGAATAATTGGTGTTCCCTGAGGAAGAGAAATCTAAAAACTTGGAAACATATTTGGGGCAATAATTGAGGAAAACTTCCCTGGCCTTGCTAGAGTCCTAGACATCCAAATACACGCAGCACAAAGAAAACACCTGGGAAATTCATCACAAAAAGATCATCACCTGGGCACATTGTTACCAGGTTATCCAAAGTTAAGATAAAGGAAAGAATCATAGGAGCTGTCAGACAGAAGCACTAGGTAACCTATAAAGGAAAACTTATTGGATTAACAGCAGATTTCTCAACAGAAACCCTACAAGTTAGAAGGGATTGGGGCCCTATCTTCAGCCTCCTCAAAGAAAACAATTAGCCAAGAATTTTGTATCCAACGAAACTAAGCTTCACACATGAAGGAGAGAGAGCCTTTTTTAGACAAATGCTGAGAGAATTCGCTATTACCAAGCCACCACTACAAGAACTGCTAAAAGTTGCTCTAAATCTTGAAACAAATCCTAGAAGCACATCAGAACAGAACCGCTTTAAAGCATGAATCACATAGGAACTATAAAACAAAACTACAAGTTAAAAAGCAAAAACAAAAAACAAAAAAACCAAAGTACACAGGCAACAAAGAGCACAATGAATGCAACAGTACATCACATTTCAATATTAACACTGAATATAAATGGTCTACATGTTCCACTTAAAAGATACAGAACTCCAGAATGGTTAAGAACTCACCAACCAACCAGCTGCTGCCTTCAGGAGACTCACCTAACATAAAAGGACTCACATAAACTTCAAGTAAATGGGTGGAAAAAGGCATTTCATGCAAATGGACACCAAAAGCAAGCAGGGGTAGCTATTACATCAGACAAAACAAACTTTAAAGCAACAGCAGTTAAAAGAGACAAAGACGGACATAATATAATGGTAAAAGGCCTTGTCCAACAGTAAAATATCACAATCCTAAACATATATGCACCTAACACTGGAGGTCCCAAATTTATAAACAATTACTAATAGACCTAAGAAATGAGATTAGACAGCAACACAGTAATAGTGGGGGACTTCAATACTCCACTGACAGCATTAGACAGGTCATCAAGACAGAAAGTCAACAAAGAAAGAATGTATTTAAACTATACCTTAGAACAAATAGACTTAACAGATATATACAGAATATTTCATCCAACAACCGCAGAATACACATTCTATTCAATAGTGCATGGAACTTTCTCCAAAATAGACCTTATGATAGGCCATAAAATGAGCCTCAATAAATTTAAGATAACTGAAATCATGTTAAGCACTCTCTCAGACCACAGTACAATAAAACGGGAAATCAAGTCCAAAAGGAACCTTCAAAACCAGACAAATACATGGAAATTAAATAACGTGTTCCTGAATGAGCACTGGGTCAAAAACAAAATCAAGATGGAAATTAAAAAATTATTCAAACTGAACGACAGAATTCTACCAGACATTCAAAGAAGAATGGGTAAGAATCCTTTCGACACTATTCCACAATATAAAGAAGGAACCCTCCCTAATTCATTCTATGAAGCCAGCATCACCCTAATGCCAAAACCAGAAAAGGACATAACCAAAAATGTAAACTACAGACCAGTATCTTTGATGAACATACATGTGAAAATCCTTAACAAAATACTAGCTAACCGAATCCGACAACATAGCAAAAAGATAATCAACCATGATCAAGTGGGTTTCATACCAGTGATGCAGGGATGGTTTAACATACACAAGTCAATAAATGTGACATGTCATATAAACAGAATTAAAAACAAAAATCACATCTCAATGGATGCAAAAAAAGTTCGAC